GCCTCTCATTCTTTTTGCTTTTAGTTTCTTTACAGATGCTTTCTATAATCTAACAGTAATAACCAAGATAACTGCTGCCAGCATTTCTGAACACACAATAATGATGACAACTACTACCACTTCTACAGACTCTTCAACTACCACCACCTCTTTTGAGGAATCTACAACCTCAATTGGAGTCACTTCTCCAAAACTTACTGTGACAATAACTGCAAATACTTCTACTAACTCTACAACCACGATGACTACCATAACTGTTATTTCCGAACCCTTCATACAAAATCAGCTATCACTTCAACAGAAATGACAACTGTGGGCATGTCTAGTGAATCCACAAACATACTGCCTGTGTTTGTTTTCAATGCTCTTCTCTAATGGCAGCTGTTCTTTCAACTGAGCCAAGCATTACTATGGCAAGTACCTCCTTGAAACCCACACCGCTACTGTTTTCTCTCAACACTCTTCATCAGCAGCAACCACCTAAAATAAACAGAGCACTAAAACAGCAGGCACTTCTACTGAACCCATAACCACACTGGCCACTTCTACTGGCTCCTTTAATCACCTTCCCACTACACCAACAGCCATTATTCCAACAGAACCAAGTTACATTACAGCAGGGACTTCTTTTGAACCCACAGCAACATCTGGTACAACTACTGCCTCCCTGGAACACTCCACTACATTAGCAGCTACCACTGCAACCGAGTCAAGCTCTGCTATGGTTGGCACTTATATTGGCCATGCAGCAATATCCTCACAGACTTCCACTACAATAGGTACTACGAAACTGCACCAAGCTCTACTATAGTTGGCACTTATAATGAACCCATGACAGCCTCTGGTATCACTACAACCTCCCCTCAAACCTTTATTACAATAACAAAGCCAAGCTCTACTACAATGGGCACTTCTACCAAATCAATATTGGGCCTTATTGCTGCACCCTTCCCAGTCTCAACTACAACAGCTGTTATTACTTCAAATGAACCGGGCACTATAAATATAGGCTGGTCAGTGGAACACTCAACCTCATTGGCTGGTTCTACTTACTCCTCTCAGCCCTCCATGACAACAGCAGTTATGACTGTAAAAATATTGAGCCTCTCTACCAAACTCACAATCACATTGACCAGCACTGGTGCCTCTCCCGACCTTCCTCTATAACAGCTGGGAATATCTCCTGATGAACCAAGCACGAAAATGCAAGAACGTCCACTGAACACACAACCACCTTGGCTATGCCTTATCCCTACTTCCAACAATCCATGGAAGCAGCAAGCATCATTACTACAGCAGTTATCACTTCAACAGAACCAACCACTACAACTGTGGGAACATCCACTGAACACATGACTGCACTGACTATCACTACTGCCTCTTCTTCCCAACCACCTTCTACAACCAAAGTCAACACTTTAACTGAACCAAGAACTGTGACTAAGCACTTCCACAAAACTCCAACCACACTGGCCACTACTATACTCCAACCACACTGGCCACCACTATAACCTCCTCTCAAACATCCCCTACAACTGAACCCACTACTACAAGTGAACCAAGAACTACAAGTGTAGATACTTCTATTGAACCAACAACCACATGGGCCATGTCTATTGCCTTTTCTTCTCCCTCTATTACAATAGCAGCCATCAGTTCAGCTTGTGGGTTCTTGAAAGCTCTACTGCTGGCAAAGAAATGAACCATGAGAGAAGGAAACTCCTGGTTCAACAAGCTGGTTCAAACTTCTAGAGTCTGACTCTGAGTGGTTTATCTTTAACATATTTAAGCACAGTACAACCTTGGAAAAAAGTTTCCTCAATGCAATTATCACAATAAATCTGAAGGCAAGACTGTATTAAACTCTTTTACCAAGTACCTAGGACCTCTTCCACAAGAATGTGCTCTATTGACTGAGAAACAGTGCTCAGAAGTCTGGGGGATTCAGGTGAAACCTAGGACTACAGAATAGCAAAGGTTACTAGGCTGTAAAAGAACATTCACTCTCAACCTTTTAGGCAGAGCAGGTGTAAATCTCTTCCATCGAAGAGAAAAGACTTTGTATTTAGCAACTCTGGTTTTCCCATTGCTATCTGTGAGCTTGGAGAACCTCGTGTCCCTTTACAACAACTGAACCAAGCACTACAAATTGAGCCCATAACCCCATTAACAATCTCTGCTTATTACTCTGAATGCTGAAACACTATAGCTGTAGCCACTTCAACTGAACTGACTATAACTTCAGATGCTTCCACTGAATCCACAGATACTATTATCTCCCCTCAGCCCTCCAGTATATAGCATGCATCTTCTTAACAATACGACTCCGACTTTAGGTACCTCTACTGAACACACAACCTTATTTGCCAACACCACAGCCTCCCCCTCAGACCTCTACTATATCAGCAACAGCCCCTTTACCAGAAACAAGCACTGCAAGTGCAGGGACTTCCACTGAACCAGCAGCCGCACTGGCTGCCACTGCTGAATACTCTCCACCTTCTACTATGACAGTTACCCCTTTCAGTCACTGAATGCTACCAACTAAAGCAGGCACATTCAGGGAAACCACAGCCACATCAACCATCACCAGTGCCTACATGGAATCTACTGTTACTCTAGAAGTCACGTCTGTAATGAGTGCCAACCCATCCACCGAGGCTCCAATGTCATTGGCCATCACTACTGCTTCCACTGTATTCAGCCCTTTGTGAAATTATAGCTATGAGAGTCACTTCTACCACCTTTAATGAGCCTATCAAGACAGAAGCAGTCATTACTTCATCACAAATGGCCATTGCTGCAGCTGTTTGAACTCCTGAGGCTATAACACAATGCTTCCTACTATGGACTCTATTGAACCCACAACTGCAACACTTTCCCCACTTAACTCAGCTGAGCAACACACTTACATGCAATCGTTCTGTTGAGGCAGAAATGACAACAGTCACCACTCCCCATTTTTCCTGAATTCACTACCATCTTTTTAACCAAACTGTTGAACAATCACTGCCAGTGTCTCCACTTAGTTTACATACACAATGAACACTACTAGTGCTTAAACTTGTCAAAGCAAGAGCATTAAAAGAATTCAAATTCTTAAAGTTTCAACAAGCACTCAACTTGCCTATGACTACAACCATTTGGATTATTGATTCAAGAGAGGCAGTTGTGTTCTTCCTTGAATTGAACCACAAACTACTTGCAGAAGTTCAAGTATATGTAAATAGCAAATACACAATTGAAAGGATTTTCTAAATAAAATGTAGAAGGTGTTCATGGTGTTCTTGCCTACATTCTTTGACAATCCAGCTAATCTTGGTGTGTTCTGTTTATTATTGGGTAGTATAATAATACCTGCATAAGAAATGTTATTAGATAAAGTGAAGATAATATGGATCTTAGGAGAACATACATATCCTAATATATATGTTGTTTCTGTAATTGAATCTGGCACTCATTCGATCAATTAGGCATTTTGAAAGTGGAACATTCTAATTATAGTACAACTATCAGACACTGTTTGTTCATCTGTAGTCCATTGAAATAAGGGATAATGCACATGAATGCTTGTGAAATTTTATCTACATTGTGCTATGGTGCTCCAGGGCCAAATTAAGATAATATCTCTGTGGCATAATAAGGCAGTGTTTGTAAGGACATGATTCAACTATTGTAGAAATCTATGGCACTGCATTTCTTTATATTTTGAAGTCCATGGTTCTCCAGCTGGATGCCCTGACATCTTAGGACATGCTCATTTCTTTATCACAAAATGGCTCAGCCACTCATCTATATTCAAACAGAAGAGAAAGACAAAGGGAAGGAAGGGTCAACTTCTTTGTTCTGAAGAGTATACTCTCTTAGTTATATGGCACCTTCTCTCCTGGTACGGGGTAGCATTTAAGTTCATGGCCACAGCTTGCTGTAACGAGGACTTTATCCTTGGTGGACATTGTGTCCACCTAAAAACATCTCAGAGTGCTCTCTAAGACTGAAGAGAATGCTTAGGGATCACTAGCAATGTGTCATGTATATAGCCAGCCTGAAGGGAAAGCCTGCTAAGCTGTCATTTCTTAGGCAATGTCATATTAGATATGCTTCAATAGGATTTTATCTATTTAATGTTTCATGCCATGTTTAATATACTCAGACTGCTAATGGCTCACAGGCTTCAGATGTATTTCTTGGGAGACATCATGTTGTAATGCTTTTTTGAAAGAACAAATCACTCTAACTGTTTGTTTCCTCTCCTTCCACAGTGCCTTCCTTGTCCATATGATTCAGAAGTACGGGTGCTGGCACTCTGCTAGGGTTGATTCCAGTTAGAACTACTAAGCTGAAAGTAGTGAATACAGTATAATTTCATGATTTTTCTCCATCCCTCAGCTCCTCCTAGGTGCCCCACACACAACTTCATGTTATTTCTCTGTATTGCAAAAACAAAGAAAAACAAACAAACAAACAAACAAACAAAAAACCAAACTTGCCCAAAACATAGGGTTCGATTTGTGTTGGGCACCAACTGCTGAGCATGGGGCCTGCCCTGATGTCAAAGTCTCAAAAGGCAAATAAATTGATTTTTGAAAAAAATGGAGAAAACCTTTGTAAGAGCCTTAAAAAGGCAAAGCTATGCATGCATATATTTCTTTTCAACAGTGCAGAGGTTTGCTCACGTAGTTTCTAGTGTTGTGTCTTACATAAAAATGCATTCTGTAACTTGAAAATCTCCGGCATACTTCAAAACTAAAACCAAAACAAAAAGTCAAAAAATAAAAAGTAGTTTCCTAAATATTTCATAGGATCCCAATGCTTCTCTTGAAAATATTTCTATGCTTACAGTTTTTAAACATGCTATGCCCAAGGTAAGGGATTGCAAACCGTCCACAGAGATCTGGGACTTTGGTCTATGGTCCAGGAATCAGCACTTCCAAGAGGTCTTCTCATCTCTCTCCAGTGCTGGAGCTTGAATTTCTTATTTCTTTTTGTTTTGTAGGTGAAATCTAATGCATTCTTCAAGGGAGTCTCTGCTTCTTCACTCTCAGATCAGCCCTGAAGGTGGCCACTGTAAGCAGGTAATGCTAGAATCTCGAGACTGCTCTTTGTCTCTCACCTGTACTGACCTGTACCTGCTGAGGCATTGTCTGTGAGCAACCCACTAACTGACCTTCTCACATGAAGAAATCTCACCCAGGAATGGGACATCCTGCTCCTTACCAATTTCCCTGCCTTCTTCCCGGGAACTAGTGAGCCTGGTTACTGGCTCTTGCTCTGAATCCTGCCCCATCCTCAAAAAGTTATAACAAGAAAATCCCTCTCCTGCCAGGTGGTCTTGGAGTCCCTGAAGAGACCTGAATTGTTCTTGGAGTTCTTGCATGCTGTTATCCTTCTGTCTGTCTGCCTGTGGTATTTATAACTCTTCTGATAAATGCCTTACTCCCCGTACTCTGTCTTAGTGTCCTCTTGAACCACCTGCCCTGTCTAAAACCTAAGAGCTCTAAGCATTAAAGTCAGAAAGAGGTTGCTGACCATAATAAATGATTGGTTGATTTCTCCTCTGGAGGTATTAGAGTGGCTGAGTTAGAGTAGATGAGGTCTAACACATCCATTCCATCACCAAAATAAACTGTTGATGGCTCTCTAGCTGATTAGTGCTACAGGTACAGCTATCACAAAACAGTATTGCTTTTGAGTGAGTGAGATTTTGGTCATTAATTATTTCAAGAGTTATTATTTGAAAGTTTACAAGCTATCCAAATGCAACCTTTACTAACACTTTCTGTGTCAGTTTTATAAAGGCATTTATGGATATGTGCACTAGGCACAATTGTTTAATTTAATTCTTAATTGAGAGCAACCTATTGACCTCATTTATTTTTGTTTTGCATATGCAAATCAGACTCTTTCTCAGCAATTATACTGAGATCTTCTTTTACTTTCAGGAGTTTATCAGGAATGTAGCCAACTTTGGTAGATACAGTAACAATTATTTATATATCAGGTTCACTGGATCTCAGAGTTGTGTCCCTGAGGACGAGGCACAAGATAGATACTCCCTGCCCCCTGCCACACCGGAAGCTGAGAGAGTAGAACTGGAACACTTTAGTGCACTGAAGGAGATCCTGAAAATGTCTAGATGCCATGAGTAGAGTTATAAGTACCTAAGAAGGGGAAGGAAGATGGCCATGTTGAATTGGGAAGACAGCAACGGCAAGCATCATCTCTAGAGAAAATTATCACGGAGATAGCCTCAAAGGCAGAGGGAAGCGTATAGAAGGGATGTTTTTAAAATATAAGAAAACGTGACGTAATTTTTGATTTTTTTTCTTGGAGGGCTGAAAGAAAATTCAGCACCCACAGGAATGGTTGCCATTCTTACCTCTAGTATTGATTTCTCCCCAGTTCCTCCTCTAAGGTAGCTCCCATATGGAAGGATGGTTGCTTGTTACTTAATTTAATTCATACCTGTGCTGATGCGTCAGCTCTAATAAGATGGTGACCTCAACCAAGCTGACTTATTTTTAAAAAGTTTAAGTATGAAGGACAATGACCAAACTGAAAGTAGATGTTGAATTTAGATATACTGTAGTCTATTTTCAAAAATGGAGACAAAAGGGGAAAAGAGACAGTGAGTATTGAACCCCTGAACTATAACCCATGTGTACCTGTTTTTTCATCTTTAAAGTTTTCTCTTGGACTTATATTTGCAGCATTTACAGAAAAACTTACTTTTTTTTAACCTTCAGAGAAAATAATTATTGACGAAAAGTCAGCTTTTTTTTTTTTTTGGTTTCCTGAGACAGGGTTTCTCTGTGTAGCCCTGACTGCACTTGAACTTGCTTTATAGACCAGGCTTGCCTAGAATTCAGAGATATGCCTACTCCTGCCTCCCAAGTGTTGGGATTAAAAGTGTGATGCCTCTGGAAGTTGCTTTATTATATAGGATTTTTTTAGCTATCCTTTTTTTGTTTGTTTTTCCATATGAAGTTGAGTATTGTTCTTTTGAGGTCTGGAAAGAATTGTGTTGGGATTTTGATGGGGATTGCATTGGATCTGTAGATTGCTTTTGGTAAGATTGCCATTTTTACTACATTAATCCTATCTGTCAGAAAGCATGGGAGATCTTTCCGTTTTTGGATATCTTCTTCAATTTCTTTTTTCAAAAACTTAAAATTCTTGTCATACAAATCTGTTGGAGAATATTATTTTAAGGTGTGTTACTTTTTTATGTTGCATTTGTTTAACTCTGTGAAGCTGTGTTACTGTGCTTGTCTAAAACACCTGATGGTCTCATAAAGAGCTGAACGGCCAATAGCAAGGCAGGAGACAGAAATAGGAGGGGCTGGCAGGCAGAGAGAATGGATAGGTGGAGAAATCTGGGAGAGGAGAGAGAAGAGGAGCCAGAGGAGGGAAGGACATCAGGAGTCAGCCACCTAGCTACACAACCAGCAAGACATGGAGTAAAAGTAAGATTTAAAGAAGTAAGAGAAAGGTAAAAGCCCAGAGGCCGAAGATAGACTGGATAATTTTAAGTTAAGAAAAGATGGCAGGAAAGAAGCCAAGCTGAGGCCAGGCATTCTTAATTAAGAATAAGCCTCTGTGTGTGATTTATTTGGGAGCTGAGTGGTGGGATCCCCCAAAAGACCACGTGAGTAAAAGCAACCAACAATACAGGTCTTACACTTGTTTAGTTAGAATTACCTCAAGATATTTGTGGCTATTATAAAGGGTGATACTTCCCTGATTTCTTTCTCATCCTGCTTATCATTTGTATATAGGAGAGCTACTGATTTTTTGAGTTAATCTTGTATCCTGCTACACTACTGAACATGTTTATCAACTGTAGGAGTTCCCTGGTGGAATTCTTAGGGTTACTTATGTGTACTATCATATCATCTGTAAATAGTGAAGTTTGACTTATTCCTTTCCAATTTGTATCCCCTTGATCTCCTTTTGTTGTCTTATTTCTCTAGCTAGAACTTCTAGTACTATATTGAATAGATATGGAGAGAGTGGACAGCCTTGTCACGTTGGGCGCCAAATGTAGATGGAACCAACCATTTTATTAAATAAGAAACACAGAGCTGATTCAGAGAAGAAAGCCAAGAGGTCAGAGCTAAGAGCCTCACCCTTCCTGCTTTAGCGATCCTCTTTAGTCAAGAAAGCTCTCCGAAAGGGACCTACTTTCTGTGTGTATGTCTTTATATACTCTAGCTGTTCTGCCTTCTCATTGGTTGTAAACCCAAACATGTGACTGTCTCGTCACTGCCTGTATGTACCGCCCTCCAGGTCCTTAAAGGCGTGCGCCACTGCCGCCGTGCACTTGTTATGGCTCTAATAGCTCTGACCCCCCGGCAACTTTATTTATTAACATACAATTAAAATCACATTTTAGTACAAATAAAATACCACCACACAGCCTTGTCTTGTTCCTGATTTTAATGGAATCACTTTCAGTTTCTCTCCATTTAATTTGATGTTGGCTGTAAGCTTTCTGTATATTGCTTTATTATGTTTAGGTATGTTCTTTGTATTCCTGATCTCTCCAAGACCTTTATCATGAAGGGGTGTTGGGTTTTGTTGAAGGCTTTTTCAGCATCTAATGAGATGATGATTGTTTTTTAGTTTGTTTATATGATGATATTGACAGATTTTCATATGTTGAGCCCTCCCTTCATCTCTGGGATGAAGCCTACTTGATCATGGTGGATGATTTTTTTGATGTGTTTTTGTATTCAGTTTGCCAGTATTTTTGCAATGTTTATGAGGGAGATTTGTCTGTAATTTTCTTTCTTTGTTGTATCTTTGTGTGATTTGGACATTAGGGGACTACAGCCTCATAAAAAGAGTTTGGCAATGTTCCTTCTGTTTCTATTGTGTGAAACAATTTGAGGAGTATTGATATTAGCTGTTCTTTGAAATTCTGGTAGAAGTCTGTGCTGAAACCATCTGGCCCTGGGATTTTTTTTGGTTGGGGGACTTTTAATGACTGCTTCTATTTCCTATGGCTTATAGGTCTATTTAAATTGTTTATCTAGTTTTGATTTAATTTTGGTATGTGGTACCTATCCAGAAAATTGTCCATTTCTTTTAGATTTTCCAATTTTGTGGAATACAGGTTTTTGAAGTATGACTTAATGATTCTTTGGATTTCCTCAGTGTCTGTTGTTATGTCCCCATTTTCATTTCTGATTTTGTTAATTTGGATATTCCCTCTCTGCCCTTTGGCTGGTTTGGATATGGGTTTGTCTATCTTGTTGATTTTTCTCAAAAAACCAGCTCTTTGTTTCATGGATTCTTTGTATTGTATCTAGTCCATTAAATCCTAGATGAGGGAACTGGGTATGTCAGACTGGTTATGATTTTCTTTATGTAAAGTATGTAAAATTTATTTGAATCCTGTAGCTAGAAATGTGGTTCAGATAAGGATTGTTCCTAATTGGAGTTAGCAGGAATCCTATGGATGAAGTCAGGCCATGTGCCATCATTCATGATGTAGCTTCTATGTATCCTCTTCCTGGTGTTTAAATGAAAATCACTATAGTGACAGGTGTTCCCTGATAGGGGACCAGGAGATGGAATCCCTCCCTTCTCCTTGGGCCATTTTCTTTGCCTCTAAAAATCACAGCCACATTCTACAAACCTTAACTCCTAGTTGAGTAGACTACTGGAAGCCATTTAGAATTCACCTTTGAGACTATTAGGGCAAGAGTGGAAGATTTGGTTCTTTTAATCAGACTTTTGGGGTGTGAGCTAAGCTTTTGTTGCAGAGCTCCCTGAGTCTCCTGTTGGGTGGGCTGAGGATTAGGAAAGATGGGTACAGGAAGTCTTCCTGAAATGGAGATTGATATGTTTCTTTTTTTTAGAAATTCTCTGTTTGGATCTATACTCCTTTTTAAACTGTGTTTATTGCTTTTTAAATGTCCATTTTTTTGAGTTCTTTATGTGTTTTGATATTAGCCCTTTATTAGATGTATAGTTGGCTAAAATTCTAATATTATTGTATCCTTACTAAACATTGCTGAAGCCAGAGAAAACTTCTTGGAAAAATGGAGTCAGATATCTCACAATACCT